GCAACCACCATGGAGTCATGTTGAAAGTGGAGCTGGAGTCTGGCGGAAGACTTCACTCTGTGCTGATGGAGGGGCTACGGCGTAAGAATTCGGAGAGTCGAAGCCTATTTCAGCGGGATAGCGAGAGACACGTGGTTTCAGACTGGGTACCAATGGTTTGAAGGAGACGTGATACTCGGCATCGGTCGGTGATGATCGGTGATTCTCTGCAGTAGGTGTTTGAGTGACGTGGGTTCATGACCTTGGGAGACTCGACTAGGACAGCAGAGGCTCGACGCGGTGATAGCGTCGAGGCGTGCGGTAAGCACGGGACACAGCGACAGGCCAAGGCACTGGTGGTCAGACATGTGGTCAGGAAAATTGTGCAGGGGGTGCTGAAGCAGTGTTGACGAGTACCAGATTCGAGCTGGTGACTGGGTCTATCGGTGCCGGTTGATGGACAAGAGTTGACCATGGAGAATCTGAGAAAGTGGCGGGAAGTCTGGAATTGTCAAAACAGAGAGAGTACATGGCTGTATATTCTGTGGTGTTCAGTGCACATGGCGAAGTGCGGATGACAAATACAGAAGGAGGCGGAGTGCTATAGCTGTGAGACATGCCAGAGACTATCCGGAAGAAGGGTGAGACAACTGCCAATTTGACTCAGGGTGACGCAGGGCGACGGTGAAATTCCTTCAAGTTTCAGATAGACGGTCAAGATAGAGCGGTGATGTTGAGTTCACCTAACTCTTATATATGGCGTCCAATACGTGAGTTGTTCACTTTCATGCAGACAGTGGTCGGTGTGTGATGGCGTTGAACGGATTCTCCGGAAGTTGGGAGCACGGACTAGAGTAACAAGGAACTTAATTTTGCTCGAGTGTTGACTGTGGTCAAGAAAAGGAGGAACTACAAGTTGCAGGTGGAGTCACATGGAGTATGAGAGTAGCAGCGGTGCTCATGGCGTATCGCAGGTCCAATGTACAAGGAGGTTCGATGCATGGATGAATTCAAGGTGGTGAAAAATATTCACCAAGGTGGAGTTTGTTAGAATTGTGTCGAATATTATTGTACAAGGTAGGTTACAGTTGGACTTGGTTTGGGACTATGTGTAGACAGGGTAGGAGTCGTGTCCAAGTAGGGCACTTGTATCCTAGACCTCTCATATATAGCGAGGGTAAACACACGATGTAACCTATGCCAACATAATAGCACCGGCACGCGGGGGAGCCGGCGGCGTGTGTGCCGGCGCCCGGGCGGCCGGGGTGCGGTATTGTGACGGTGTCACGGGGAGGAGCGCCCGTAGTCAAGCCCCGGGGATGTAGCCATATCGGTGAACCTCGTTAACAAATCTTGGTGTCATGCTTGTGTGATTGCTTGGTCCTCGATAGATCGACAGAACGCCTCAAATTTATTCTAACAATGTGCTTCCCCGTGAGATTATTTATAGCATCACGTACGCACTGTCGTGTGAAAATGGAAGTAAAAAGAAGGAACAGCTAAACAGTCATGAGTAGCAATATATACTCGTTCGTCACCAAGAATCATATGGCTTTGGTTGTAGAGGAAACATCTGATCTGTTCTGACCTCCGCTCAGGGCCGCCGCTCGTCCTCACCTCCGCTCAGGGCCTCACCTCCGCTCCCCTCCGCCGCCCCCTCCTCCTCACCCGTGCGGCGGCGCCGCCCCGCACCGGGGAGCCCCCGCCCTCCTCCTACAGCAGCGCCTCACCTCTGCACCCCTCCGCCGCAGTCGCCCGAGGCGTCACAGGGCAAAGCCCTTGTGGCGTGGCGGCGGCGGCGGTTTTCTCCTTGGATCTCGATCTGGTTGGGAGGCGGCGCTCCTTTCCGGCCAGATTGGCGGCGGTGGCACGGATCGACGGTGACATGGATGTGGTGCAGCGGCGGCGGTGGAGGATGGCACCAGCAACTGCGGATCTGGCCTTGACTCAGTCGGTCTAATTCGTTGTGATACTGATCTCAATCATCGTCAGCGGTGCACTGCTCCTGGACTTGATCTGCAACACGAGGATGTCTGGGGCGCCGGCCCTAGGCTTGGTGGTGGTGGCTTCTTCTTCGTCGGAGTTGGTCTGGATCCCGGGGCGGCGGCCCTGGATGGTGGCGGCCGGTGAAGCTAGGGCTTCCCGCGGCGGCATGGCGTGGTGCAGTCCCTGTCCAAGGCGGATCTGTGACGGCGATCTGATCTACGGATTGGTTCGGATCAGAGACGGTGACGAGCACGCGGGATCCATCTCGGCGGCTCTCGCGGCTTGGCGAGGCGGAGTGGGAGCCCTCCTCCTAGGCTCCAGTGGTAGCACACTCAGGCAGTGACCGGTGCGCCAGGGCTCCTACGGTGGCACTGCTGTTGTGGTTGGTCGCCGGATCTAGGAGGCTAGATCTGGGGCTTTGAAGGCGGTCGAGATGATGCACAGGTTGTCGGGTGGACTACTTGGGACAGATCCGGGTGAAAACCTAGTCTTCGTCGATGGCCGGAGCCGGTGATGACGATGCCCTTATCATCGTTTCCTTCATGAAGGCATCATCGAGGTGAAGCTCCCAGCTCCACTCAATACCATCGGGGGAAACCCTAGATCGGCTGATCGGATGTTGGCGACAATCATGTGTCGTTACCCCCTTGGAGGCGGCATTCTTGGAGGTGCACTCGTTCTCGCGGGACCAGCGGACGGCTTCTTTGGTGGAGTGGTGTTTCATCCTACACATTGATGATGACGGATCTTGACGGCGTGGCGCGGTGCAGATTCGGTGTTCGATGTGTGAGGATGGACTCGCGCAGGAGGACGACGCTGTCTGGCGTCGTGGTGGCGTCGATGGCAGAGAGACCTGGCACGATAGATGCAACAGTACAACTCTGAAGATGGATTGGTGGCAGGTGGCTGCGGCGGCCTCATACCCGGCAGGCGTCCTGGTTGAGGAATGTGCCGGACTGGTAGGTGCCCCATACCCGGCAGGCGTCCTGGTTGGGACCTCAGGCCTTAGATGTTTAGGTTTGGCAGCGAGGTCTGTTTGGTATTAGGCCCAGACTATCAGCATCCTTTCATCAACTGGATAGGAGTAGCACAGATGTTGCCTAGACGGTGGCTTTAGTCTTACTGCTGTATGACTTTGTAAGGTCCTGCGTGAATAATTAATAAAGTGGCCGCATGCATCGTCGAGATGCAGAGGCCGGGGGTCCACCTCCATTTCTAAAAAAAAAAGTTAAACAATCATGGACCACTCAGCTTCAGTCTTCATGCGTCACGATATGTGTCCTTTCACGTGGGGGACACAGAGACAATCTTAGCCAGACGATCGCCCGTGCAATCAAACGGCTTAGGGCATGGCCAACGGGCCAGGCTGGACCGCTGCCCCAGCATGCCACATAGGTGGATAGAGTCCAGCTCAACTAAAGGTGATGCTTGCAGGGGCATACTAGTTCCTGCAGAGGAGTCGGCTTCTCCGCTGATAAAGTGAAAGAAGACCACGCTGCCCACGGTGAAAAGCAAGGGAGAGTGTCATGGAGGTGAGAAAGTTGGATAGAAAAAGAATTAAGTGGGGCTTGTGAAGAATCGCGAAGAGTCAGTTTTGCATTGGGTGGTGCATAGTTGAAGCGGTGGTTTGAACACCATTTGCTTACGTGAATTGTTGGGGCAGCAGCTAGGTGCTGCCCCCATTGTACATGCCCTTAAAAGACGGCTGACGAAGCCAAGAATCATCTAACTAATTTAAAGAGTTTTTCTTTGGTATGTGCTCTGTCTGACAAAAAGTGGGGGCATGCTACGCATCCGCCGGCTAATCTTTTTAAAAGATCGGCCGGGTCGCTAGCCGCTAGATTTGGCGTCATCAAGAAGTGATGGGCATTAACCTTTACAACAGAGATCATGTTGTGAAACGTATGTAGATTTTTTTTTTGCAATGGAGTTGATGTTACAATATTTTCTGCAACAAAGATCGTGCTACGGAAACATTTGTAGAGTTTTTTTTCCCACAAAATGTGATATTGTAGAATTTTTTACAATAGAGATCATGTTGCCGAAGGTGTATAGATTTTTTTTATATTTTTTTTGCAACAGAGGTCATATTGTAGATAGTTTTTGCAATTGAAAGCATGTTGCAACAAAGAAAAAAAACCAAATGGCAATCAATCGTTAGCGATTATGATAAGAAGGAACGGTGATAGGCCCCACATGTGAATCGTGGTGTGCACCTCAGGCAGCGGACGAGGCGCTGTAAATCGGCCGACTGATCGGTATATTTTTCCCTTTCGTATAAAGCTTTATTACTGCATTACAGAGTTGCTTACAATTAAGGTGTGAGATGGCGAACCAACCTGTGGTTGCATCGTTAGGAGGACAATGATATCCACAACCCATCAGGGTTCATTGGCGTAGCTAGGGGGTGGATAGGGTGGTCCACGGACCACCATGAAATTCCCACATAGCTTGTGTATAGTGTAGTAGAAAAATATTTCTTTGAAAATAAAGAAAATTTATGCAAATGTTTCTATTACCGGACCACCCTGTCACATCGGGCTGGCTACGCCACTGCCAGGGTTCAAGTCCTGATGCTCGTATTTATTACTGAATTTATTTCAGGATTTTCGGCGATACACTTTCAGTGGGGGGAGATATTCCCATCGACGACGAGGTGCTGCGGTGATTTCGTAAATCTCAAGATGATTTGCCGGCTTAGTCTCTCGAAAGTGCTCATAGGGATAGGATATGCGTGTGTGCGTTCATAGGGGTGAATGTACGCGCGTAAATGAGTGCTTGTGTCTGTACTGTGTTAAAAAAAATTAAGGTGTGAGATGTCGTACTGGTGTCAGTAGCCCGAGTCGGACTCGGACTCGGAGTCGGAGTCGGACTGGATTGGTGCTCCATCCAACCACGTCACGGACTCACAATTATGAACAAGTTGAGCCCCGCCCGACTCGGACTGGTGCAAGCTCTATGTCTTATATACGTGCGGCCGTCTCGCTCGCATATCCACTAGCCGATTGCAAGCTTGACGCAACTAGCCTGCAACCATGGGAGCAGTTTTGTCCTACGCCGCCGGCACAGCCATGGCGACCAAGGACTTCGTGCGGCAACGGAGGTCAACCACGACAGATGCCATGGCCGGTTGGTCCGGCCTGCCGGATGACCTCCTGTTCACCATCATGGCGTTGCTGGACGTCCCCAGCCTCCGGCGCGCCGGCGCCGTGTGCAAGTCCTGGCGCGCCGCGCACCACGCCTTCCGCCTCCCCGAGCTGGAGCGCGCGCCATGCCTGCTCTACGCATGCGAGGAGTACGGGCCCGACGATGCCGCCCTCTATTGCCCCGCCACCGGCGCCACCTTCCGCGTCCCCTTCCCGGGGCCCCCGCATGAGAAGCGGGGTTTCGCCTTCGCGAGCCAAGGCGGCTGGGTGTTCACCACCGACGAGATCGGCAACCCGTACCTCCTCAACCCCGTCACCGGCGCCCAGGCCGTGCTCCCGCCGCTCAAGACAATCTACGGAACTGACAAGTTTTATGACGACCACGGCAAGCACGTCTGGCCTGCTGCCCCCGAATATGGTATCATGAAACCCAAAATCAGCTGGGCGCGTCACCGGGAGTTTTGGGGAGTCGCCATCTCCGCGGCCGCCAAGGCCAAAGAATGCACCGTCTTGATCGTGAACATGTCGTGGTTTGGTCTCTCTTTCGCCAGGCCTGGAGACAAGAGGTGGACAAGGGTGATCCCCAAAGATACACACGCGGTCGGCGACATCCTGTACAATGACAAGGATGGCTTGTTCTACATCCTATATTACAATGGTAGCATTGGTACCTTGGATCTCAGCGGGCCTTCACCGTCGCTGACCATGATCATGCGGCGCGAGATAAGTTCGTCCCCTTTTCATACCATGTACCTCGCCCTTGGTCCATCAGGTGAACTCTTGGAGGTAGAAAGGAAGTGGAGTCCCAAAAATGTTTCACTAAAGTATCATGACACTTACCGAGACATCAACCTAGCCAGTGAAGATGACCAAGATATTGATGCATCACCACCGCTTGACATGGCACATCGGATTGTCAAGAAGGCCAGCACGGTCCAGCTCCTGGTCTTCAAGGTTGACATCAAGCGGCGTAAGTTGGTGAAACTAAGGGACATTGGGGATCACGCGCTCTTTCTTGGGCTCAACTCTGCCGTGTGCCTTCCGACCAAGGACTTCCCGGCGTTCGAGCCAAACAGCGTCTACCTCACGGACGCCTGTTTATACTACGGCCCAATGCTACGAAAAGATCTTTGCATCTGGAACATCAGGAATAGGAGTATGCAAAAACTTGATGACGCGTGGCCAAACATGTATTCTTGGCTGCATTTACCGGCTCCAATATGGATCATGCCAAGGTTTTAACTACTGAATAGGGCGGCAAGGTTTATTCGAGTTTGCCTGCAATTTATACAAATCAGGATTTTGGTATCACCCTTCCTTTGAAGAGCCATTGGACCCACCTGTCAGTGAAACATTCAAATTATTTGTTCAATATTAGCACATTATTTGTGGTACGTACGTATACAAATGAGGACTTCGTGTCTTATGCCGACAATACTTTTTGTTGGAATAATCTTGCCTAATTTGTGTAGCCGGATACAGGTTAGTTTGCTATTGCGTATGCTGAGTATGATTACTAGTCAAAGTAGTACTAAGAGTTAACCTTGTAGTCGGGTTGTAGGCCATACGGAGCTAGTTTCAGTCCGGGTAAAACCAGGAGAGTACTAGTCGTATTGCACGCATGTCTTAGCTAGGTGTTTGACTGTTGGAAATTGTGTCGGAGTAGGTTTATAGGAGTACATGTAAGGCCGTCGAATACTGTGAGGTGAAAAGCGAGAAAATAAACAGAAAAAGGCATGAGAAGAGCCCTTGCCTATCAGTTTTTGGTGCCGACTTGTTCATTGTGATTTTCTGGTGTAATCAAGTTGGCCAGTACACGGGCACTCGGCAAAGAGTTTGCCGAGAGCCAAACAGTACCACCCAGCATTATACTCCTGTCGGCATTATCATGTGTTTGCCGATTTATTCCCTTTGCCGAGTGTAGCTCTCGGCGTTGCTTACTTTGACGAGTGCCCGTGTTATAGCTCTCGGCAAAGACCCCGAGACCCGGTGTATATGAAAATTCCAGTAGTGGCTTTGCCTTGGTGCTCTGATTTTTCCGAAACTCTTTCTCCTTGTATGTACGAAATCCGACTAATTGAGCCGTTCCATCCTACCTTTCTCAGTTTCTCTTGGATATGTTGGGGCACATCATTTGCATTCCTGATACTAGTACCCCTCCTGCTATACCCCTGTTTTCCAGTATTAAGTACACAAAAAAGTATGTGCACAGTACAACGAACGGGTATGCAATATCACCCTAGTGTCTGAATTACAAGTACATTATTATTTTTGTTGGTTTTATTTGACAAGGCGGTTCACGATTGCAACAGCAACAACAGGACATGAGTAAATAGAGGTTTGAAACAAATAATACATAACATCACGATATATACAATAATACTCTCTCCGGTCCAAATTAATTGTCGCAACTTTAGTACAACTTTGACAATTAATTTAGATCAAAGGGAAGTATATTAATTGTTTCACACAGTAAGGATATTTGGAGACATGAGTGACAACCAATGGTAGTAGGCAGTCTCCTTGGTCTTATGTTGCGGGTGTATCATTCAGCTTTACTGCAGCTCTTTCTTCTTGTTTGTAAGGCACCAAACCGCCAATTGGTGGAACTGGGAATGGGAGTTTGGAGATATGAGAAGGCAGAGTCTGGTGCTATATCGATTACCCCTAGCACCCCCTGCAGTTGGTCCTCGATGTGCTGGGGCACCTCCTCACTGCTATCCATGACCACTGTGAGCCTTAGGGCATCTCCAGCCGTTTGCCCCCCAGGAGGCACCTTTTTTCGCCTCCTGGGGGGCCGCGGGCGAGAACTTAGGCCTTGGGGGCCAAACCAGTTCCACTCGTTGCCTCCCCACGAGCAGCGTTGGACTCCCACAATCGGAGCGTCATTTCGTCGAGCACCTTGACCGCGGCGGCGTCGACGACCTCCAGCCAACGGAGGAGCGCGAGCGTCGACGGAGGCCTGGCGGAAGACCACACGGACATGAGCATGAGCAGCGCTGGGCTCTCACGGAGGCAGCAGCATTTCATCGAGCATCTTGACCACGGCCGCGCTAGTCCAGGCCGCGCCCGCTGCTCGCCGCCTCGACGTGCCCCGTCAGCGGGCTGCACGGGGACGGGCGGGCGCCCAGGACGCGGTGGCCGGCGGGCGTAGTAGACGCGTCTCGCCCGCGCCGCGCCGTCCAGGCCACGACTGCGCCCTACCTCATCATGGCGTCCTCCACTGTCTCCTGCTCCTGCCCGATGACGGTGTCGCCGAGGCACCGCGCGAGGACGACGGCATGAGCAACAAGGAGGAGGAGGAGGTTGCTGGTCGCTTGCCTTGTAGACGGAGACGAAGCCGCCGCGGCCGAGCAGGTTGCCGTCGGAGAAGCCGGCGGTGGCGGCCTCCAGCACCGGCAGATCGATGAAGAGCGTCCACTGGTCGTCCTCCTCCTTGTTGCTCTCCCGACGACGAGGGCGAGGACGATCGAGCCCGCAGCCGCGCCCGTTCGCCCAGGCAGCGCCATGCCCGCCCGCCCGCCCGCCCACACGCCATGGCCACACGCAGCGAGCTCCGGCCCGGCCACGCCACGGCCACATGCCGGCGGACGAGCTGCCGCGACTCCGGCATGCCGCGGGGGCGGAGTCGGGCGCCCGCCCATGCCGCGGCGCCACGCAGTCCAAGCAAAGCCTTCCACCCGAAGCAAGCAACACAGCCGCGAGAGCGCGAGCCAGAGCACGGCGGGGGAGGCGACCTGGCGGAGGGGGTAAGCGCAAGCCAGAGCGAGGCGGGGGAGGCGACCTGGCGGAGCAGAGGAGGGCGCGAGCGCGAGCCGGCGGGGGAGGCTGCGGGGGCGGAGGCGAGCGCGCGGGCGGAGCAGGCGGGGCGGCGAGCTCGGCGGGGCGGGACGGAGAAGGCGGGGCTCGGCGAGGGAAAGATTCCCACATGCACGGGTGGGCCTAGCCGGAAAAAGAGGAGAGAGAGTGAGGAGAGAGGCCGACATGTGGGGGTTTTGCATGCAAAAAGGAGTGCCGGTGCCCCCAAGTGCCTCCCGGCTTTTGGGTTTGGATCGGGACCGCCAGGCGTAACTTCGGCCAAATCCGGCGCTATTTGACCTCTTGGGGTCCCGGCTGGGAGAAAAATTAAGCGTAGGCGTCCAAAAAATGCTAGTGGGGGGCATCCTGAGGGGCCGGCTGGAGATGCCCTTACAAGGTTTGGCCGGACCTTGCGAACATCGTATCCAGCCTCAGGCCATTTGACTGTGCCACTAAGCCATACTATTTCAAGGTATTGAAGGCTCTGTGCGGCGAAGACACACGACGGGATCTCATCACCATGAAGCCACAAGTTTTGAAGGAGATTCATCTTCGCAAGAGCATTCTCAAGTGCGGCCCCATGTTTAGATTGATTGAACCCGTGCAAACTCATTGTCCGGAGTTTGGTCATCTTGTGCAGTGGGCAACTCCCTTCATCCCATTCTCCTTCTTAGGCAGGTTTTACACGCTGTAGCGTCTGCAGGTCGTCTAGTTCTTCCTTGATGGACGCTGGAAGCGTGAGCTGGTCTGCATGCACATGCCGCAGCGTCTTTATCTTCCAGAAGAATGGGTGAATCTGCTCGACTTGGGTTCCACTTATGTCTAGTGTCTGCAGGTTGAGCAGACCCTTAATGCTCAAGGGGAGCTCCTTGAGGTCCTCGCACTCAGTAACAGCTAGGTACCCGCTTCTGCGATGAAGCCCTCGTCACCAGCCGCCCGTGCTGCATTGAAGTCCTCATCGCCGGCCACCGGTGCTGCAATGAAGCCCTCGTCGACGCGGTGCTGCCATGGAGCTTCGCCAGACGTCGGGTACCCATTAGTGTTGCATTGTAGCTTTGCCGTGCCGCGCGGTGCTTCCATGGAGCTTCGTCGGATGTCGTCGGTGTTGCTTCGGAGCTCTGCCCACTCCCGCGCTTAGTGCTGCCATGGAGCAGCCGCGGCGGCTCCTGGTGCTGCCATGCAGCGGACACCACCGACTCTCGGAGCTGCGATGCAGCACCCAGTGTTGTATTGGAGCGCTCGCCGGCGACGCCGGTGCTGCGAGGTCGACTGAGTAGGTGCCACGGTTCGTTATTGTTAAAGTATGATTTTGTATAGCTATTCACGTGTATTCCGTTTATATACGGTTGTACATATATACGTATAGGATTCTTTCTTGATCTCCAAGACTTGTAATCTTGCTATAAATATATGAGCCGATCGCCCCTTGAGAGGCGTCTTCCCTCAAACTGATTCTCGCTTATATGGTACTCCCTCCGGTCCTTTTTACTCTGCATATTAGGCTTGTCTGAAGTCAATCTTATCCAACTTATACCAAGTTTATATAAAAAATTATAGACATTCACATAACAACACCAATATCATTAGATTCATCTTGAAATATATTTTCATATTATATTTATTAAATATTATAGATGCTAATAATTTCTAATATAAATTTGGTCAAACTTAGCAAAGTTTGACTTTCGGCAAAACCAATGTGCAGAGTAAAAAGGACCGGAGGGAGTATCAGCCCTTCTTTCCTAAACCTAGCTTCCGCCGCGCCTCCAACCAGCCGCCGCCGCTCAAACCCTAAAGCGCCGCCGCGGTTTCCCCTCCTGCCCCGATCGCCGCCATGTCCAGCGCCGCGTCCTCGTCGTCCATGCTCGGGGCGCAAACCTCCGGGGCGCTCACCAACTCCACCTCCGCCGCCCCCGCCCCCGCCCTCTCGTCGCCGGCCTCTCACGCCGTCCATGTTGCCAGCATCAAGATGCACGTCCCCATCGTCCTCGACTTGCAGCAGTCCAACTACGCCAAGTGGCGCATGCTCATCACCGTCCTCCTCGGCAAGTACGAGCTCATGGATCACATCTCCGCCGTCACGCCGCCGGACGCACGCACGGCTGAGTGGCAGCGCCAGGACTACGTTGTCCGTTCATGGCTGTATGGCTCCATCAGCCACGACATCTTGGACACCATCATGGCCCAAGATCAGACCGCGTACAACGCCTACGCGCTGATCCGGAACCTCTTCCTCGACAACCAACTCACCCGGGCCGTCTACCTCGAGGCGCAGTTCCGGGCCATCGTCCAGGGCGATCTCACCATCACCGCCTACTGCCACCGCCTGAAGGCCCTCTCCGACGCGTTGGCGGACGTGGGGCAGCCCGTGCAGGACCAAACTTTGGTCCTCACATGCCTTCGGGGCCTCAATCCGCGCTTCTCCGACATCACCACACTCGTCA